TCTTGTCTGTTGTGCCTGTGCACTTTATCTGTTTCATCATGGGAGAGTGAGAAACGTCCTCTCGATTACTTTATATGTCTGGTGCATGTGAAGTAATTGACAATAAAGCTGACTTTGACTTTGACTTTAGTTTTTTCTTTATAATCATGAGAATATACTCCTTTAAAATGGCACTAAAACGTACTGGAACACATTTTCAAGGTGTTTTCGTTGCAGGAAAACATCATGTAAATATCCCGGACATGTGTGAACCTTCAAGGTAATTACACCCAAACCTAATGCATACAGTGCTGTGTTTCTGTAGAGTTGTCAATCCATGCCATATGATGTAGACACAGCATTAACATTAACATGATGGTGCCGCACTGTGAACTCATGTATGAGTCAGAAACCATCTGCTCTGCTGTCCATTAGCCGGACTATCACTTTGGGCTTTTACCGCTGCATTGATCAATAAGTTGGAAGGTGTAACAGCTGCTAACACTTTTTTCAATACCTTACTTTGACAAATATAAATATGGTTTTGTATAAAAAAAATAACACAAGCAGCCTTAAAGGAAGTTATAAAATAAAATGCTAGTTGGCTGATGCCAACTCTGCTTCTTTAAAATAAAATTGAGTGATTTGTATTTGGCTGATGCACAGGACCAGAATCAGTGTCTCACACACTGATTGACTGATCGATGAGAACCAGAGAGCTCCCCTGGTACTGGGGGGTCAGCTCGGGTTGCTCCATGGCGGCGGCAGGAAGCAGCCAGACGGAAACACAATGAGGCTTTTGGAGGCAGACAGAGATCCCCCCGGCCTCGCCATGGAAACTGCTGAGATAGACCTTGACCCGGCCGGTGTCACGTTTCCAGACAAGGTATTGTGTAGTCCTTTAACCCCTTCACAAGCCAATGTCGCCATTTTCATTCTATATATCTATATGCTTAATGTACAAATACCTGCGTATTCTGATTTATTATATTACTATAAAATGTGAGCATCAAAATCTGAATAATATAAAATAAAATAAAATCAGTACACCATATTTTCTAATAAATGTTGGTATCAGCTTGTTTCCTCACCTCTCCAGAGAGCTCGCCTGCCATTCCTGCAGCATCAGGTCCAAGAACTCAAAGCAGCGTCTAAAAAATAAAAATCATTAAAATACGACCACAAAGCATCAATACCATCCATACTTTTCTAAATTTAATTCAAAAACAAAACATTCCCCTGACTTTCCAATAAATTTAATAAACATACAAATAAAGTAAATACATTAAAATCAAAATATATAAATAAAACATATACATAGAAAAACAATAGAAAAATAGAAAGAAAGAAATATTAAAGAAAAAGTAAATATAATTACATAAAATAAAAAAACACATTAATACAACAAAACTGTGTAGATATCAATCAACTTAAAAAAAGGAAAAATTAAAATAACTACATAAAATAAAAATCTATAAATAAAACTGAAGTATAAAAACATTAATAAATAGATAGATTAAATATAATTAAATAAAAATAAAAATATGCCTATAAAAATGAATAAATAAAACAGAAACATGAACAAAAGAAAATATGTGTCACCTTCTGACTGCCACAGATTTGGAGGTACAGTTGCTGGTGATGATGGGGATGAGACGAGGGTTGTGTGTGTGCTGCGAAACACAAAAACCTGGAGTCAAAACAAGTTTCAATCTAAATAAAATCAAACTCTTCAAACACATTTTCTTTCTTAAAGGAGCCTGAGAATACAATTCCCATCATACAATGTGTAGCCTTCTTCTTCATCCACAATAAAAATGGTAATTCGTTCAGTCTGACAACAACTGCCCCTTTTTCTTTTTCACATGAAATGTAATTTACAGGATCAAATCCCATTATTCTGTGAAATCTTTCCAGTTATAGCTGCGAGCTAACATCATTATAATGCTGCCTCGTGAACATATTCAGTTCTGGGAATAAATCCGGACAGGACGCTGCTTTTATTTCCTATAGCAGGAATCTAAAAGTGAGTAAGGGACAGCTTCTTACTTAAATGTCAGCTTTTAAGCTCCCACAGTATCCCAACAAACACAGACATCATCATCAAGCTGCCACGTACTCTGAGGATGAGGCGGATGACGGCCATGCCGGAGGTGGCCATGACTTTGGCACTGTTGGGGACCAGGTTGAGGAGGATCGGCATGGTGGCCTCCGCCGCGTGGTCGAACCGACTGCCGAGCACCAACGACAGGTGGCTGGAGACGGGAGAGGGTGAACTGCCTCAGTGACATATTTCATATAAATATTTCATATTATATTCAGTGTAACAATAACAGCAGAGAACAAGTGATAAACAGCTGATTATTACCCGTCAATGTTGATCAGAGATGAGTTGTTTTTAGGATCTTTTTATACAGTTCTCTGTACTGTGTATTTTTTTATTTTTTAACAATCATATAGACTTAACACGCTTTGACAAATTCAGTGTTTTTTTCCTCATTGTTCTATCAGCTCTTTGGTTGTTTTCTGATGCAGGACGAGGCTGTTGATCAGACAGTATAGGCTCTGTCAATATAGTAATATAGTATTCAATGAATGAGATGCTGAGATCTGAGCTTACAACCTTAAAAATCAAGAAGGCTTCACGACCCCCTGTGAAGCTTTAACGACCCCTTGTAGGGAACCACTGTTATAGAGCACTAAAGCATGATATGGGAGTGGATAAAGCACTGTACTAGAGATAAAATGTGACACTAAATGTAACCATTAGGTGATTTTCAGAAAAGATGTATTCTCTCACTGTGTTGCAGCCCATTTGAAGGGAAACGTTTGTTTGTGGCACACAAACTGCGAGTGTTGTTTCCTCCAGATAGTCTTACCCCAGAGTGATGCAGGCCTCTCTCACCACCTGAGAGCGGAGGTCCTTGGCGGACAGTTTGAACGCCGCCTCCATGAGCCGCAGCTGCTGCAGAAACCCATCGAACTCGGCTGCGCCGGCCAGGATCAGCGAACGCACCTTCTTCAGCTGGAGGAAACAGGAAACAGCGGTCAAAATAAAGACATTTTCACCCAACCGATCCCTAAACTGAGACAACTGAGAGGTCTTACAGCTGCCACTCTGAGCTCCCAGTCCTTCTTATCGTCTGACAGCACATCTCGTATCTTCGTCATGGCCTCCTCCACCTCTCGGTTAGAGTAGATCTGGTGGAGGGCAGGAGAAGCATGAAGAAGCAGAGGAGAAAGGGTGGAGTTCTGCCAACATTATGTTTTAAAAATACCTCACCTGCACGGTGGGAACATCCTCAAAGGCCTGGATGAAGTCCTCCTCATCCACAGCTCCAGCACCAGGCCCATCCCTCCCTACAGACAGGGTGAGAACATATTCAATAAATGTATGTTACTTCGTGAACTGAAGAAGCACTACCACTGTAGAAGTTAACAGTCAGGTGGTGACCTGCAGACTTGGCGCCGGAGGCGGAGGCGGGACGCCGAAATGAACCCATGCTCACCGCCTTCCTACCGGACAACGAGGCTCCTTTGGACGAGGACGAGGAGCGGCCGCCGTCCACCGAGTCATCGTCCTCAAAGTTTTTGTCTGGAGGAGGAAGAGAAAGAGAAGAGGAACAGAGGGCTCTGGTCACATGACTGAACAACGAGTCTTCAGTAAACTCAACCGGCTGAGCGTCCCGGCGATGCGGAGAAGGCAGGCGGACGCTGGCATTTCTGCATTTTCCCCTTTAGCTGACATTCAGACATAACTCACATTCCTGCATCCCCAACGTAACGAGCTAACGGTGGCGAGGAGGGTCTCAGACACAATGCCCTGACAATAAACTGAACAATTAGTCCTGTGTTCCCAGGAAGAAGCCAAGTGACCACAGGAGAACAAAATACACATTCTGAGGACAAAGACTGCTGTAGCAATGGCAAAATAATGGTTCTCCCAGCACACTGAACTGAGCTATGATTTCAACTCATACGAAGTGTGTTCAGCCAAATGAGACTACTGATATGGTGTAATAAATAAATTACGTTACTGTTAATGAACCCAGAAGGGGCACTGATGCAATTTCAACACTGTTTATGGACCCCAGTATGCAGAAATATTTAAATACACGGGGCAAAAGTAACACTTATACTGCATGCAAAACACTGCATGGGATTAGCATAAAGTGTCTGCAAAGAGGAGACTCGTGGGTACCCATAGAAAGAGAAGACAAGAAACAACTGACAAATACCATTCAGAACATTTATCAGCAGTAAAAATGTGTGTGAAAGTATCGTTGCACTAAATCTTTATTAATCTGTGCAAACTGTGCTTCAGTCGATTGTTGGGGTTGGAAATGAAATGTATCCTCTTCATTTAGTTCAAAGTCACGCAACACAAAGAAAACCAATAACTCCTTACCGCTAAAACGCTGGAACTGCTTCGGCTTAGATTTTATGTCAAAAGCCATATTTTATTTGTGGCAGAAAAGCTGCATGCCCCCATTCAACAGTTATCTCCTGGTTGAAACAGCATTTTGACTGACGGATCTGTCAGTCTGATTTAACGTGGGTAGAAAAAGGTCCTGTACTGAATTTGTATTTCTCAGTAAATAGACACATAATCTTTTTTTTTTTTTTCCTGCCAGCAGCTTAAAGAGGCTCAGCCCTGTGGAAACGTCTCTTGTGGTGGACAACTGAGCACCACGTGAGTCCCCCCTGAGCGCAGGAATCTGCACGGCTAGCAATCAATCCTTTTTCATTATTCACAAGTCTCCACACACACACACACACACACACACAGCAGGGCACTGAGCCAACACATCAGTCATGTGCCATCAGGTTGCAGTTTTTCCTGCTCGCACGCTGAAAGCACGATGCAACAACTCTCAATATCAACGCAAGGTGAGTGTGAAGGAAAGGACACCTGTCACCTGAGGTTTAACATCAACATGACACAACAGGAGGGGAAAAGAGCACGTTAGCTCAAGAGGAAACCCCTTTAAAAGATCCACGATACACACGTTATTTGCTGCTGTGGATTCTGTGTGGTCCAATCCCCCTTTGAGGATCAATGAATGTAATCAGATCACAGGCTGGCTAAGAGGGGTATCAGAGTATATCAAAGAGCTACTGTGATGATAAAAATCAATAAAAAAGCTACATGCAACATTTCACAAAAAGGAAATAAAGGCCATGTCATCTTCAGCAAACTATATTTCTAATGCACAACCTTTCATCCAATATCAGTTTATCATTTATGATTCTATGAGTCAAATTGAAATGGTAATGAGTAAATAATGTCCCAGATTTACAGTACATAATGTTTAAGACACCAATGCCTGTAAGAAAATGTTAAACTACTGCTTATATATATTTTTGAACACCAAGATGATTTGAAACAACGCATCAAACAGATTGTTATAACATTTCTAAATTGGTGAAAAAACAGTAGGTGTGTTTAACAAGTTAATGAACAAGTAGTTGTAGCTGTGAGTATGCAGCACAAAGTCTGACAAAGGAGAGGAAAACTTTTTCTTTAAATCAAAAACTCTGATTATTAAAATTGTCAATGAGCTCATGAAATCTGCACAGAATTCCCACCCAGACTGCAGACTTTAAAGCTGATATTCAAATTGCTCTTATATACCCTTCAGCAAGAAAAACATGTGCCACAAACTAAATTTACAAGACAAACTGTTTTGTATCAACTCAGCCAGAACAAAATCAAGCCATTCAGTTTAAATGTAACCTTCATATCCTCAGTGTCCATACATCAAAGAGGCAACTCATTTCCGCAACAGGTCAGTAAATGAATGAGCAGGAAAGTTCATTTCTAGTTTATTTTAGTTCAAACTAATTCTCAGTTTCTCTTCAACTCCACAGCACACAGACTCCGTCCGGTTTTCTCCGGCTTCCTGACCTTAACTTTGCTCAGAGACAGACAACCTGCACGCACTTTCTACACAACAACTGGGCTGCGGGCAGGCCAACAAATCCCCCCGCTGTGTTTACATGCCAACACCACAGACGCATCCCTCCTGGATTTACAGCCATCATCACACCAGGCATCCCCCCCTCCTCATCTTCCTCATTCAGCTCCTGCATCCATCACTGATTACAACCTCCACCGTGAGCTCAAACCTCCCCTGCATCCAGAGGGAGAGCAGCAGCTTACAGGAGCAAATCCGCCTGCAGACCAGTTTCCTCAGCATGCCGGCACACAGACAGACGGACAGACAGACAGACAGTCAGGTGCTCCTCCAGTCGTCTGTGGTCCTCACATCTTTTCCCACTGCTGAGGAGAGAGAAGAGGGGAGGAAGGAGGGGAGTCCAGCTGCGAACCCCCTCCCTCCCCTGTCAGGGAGCATGTGCCTCAATACGCTCTTCCTCTCCGCCTTCGTCCTCTAGTTCACTTCAGCAAACGCACGCTTGCAGGACCAGGATGGAGGAAGAGGAAGGGAGGGGATGGAGACAAGTGATGAAGGAAAGGAGGAGGGAGGGAGGGAGGGGTGAGGGAGGGGAAGCAGACCAATGGGAGGAGAAGGGAGGGGTCGGTCAGGGGACAAACCCCGGTGCTCGGTCCGGAGGCGGAGCTGGTGGGCGGAGTCACAGATGAGGGACAGCTCGGCGTCATCATGACTCAGGAGGACGGGGAGGGAGGGAGAGAGAGGAGGGAGAGAAGGGAGGGAGGGATGGAGAGACACCTCTCCAGAGGAAGCAGCTCCTCTGACGACATCAATGTCAGACCTAGAGCCTCCACCAGAGTGCATCCGTCAGCCTGCAGCAGCTGGAGTGTTTTTATCACAGCAAGGTCACTGCTGCTCCACGTGTGACACAAACAAGGGAATGTATGCAACGCTGAGGCAACAGCTTCTGTTAGCACAGGGTTAGATGTGTCTAACATTCAAGCTTCTATTCATTTTAATGGCATTTATGTAAGGGGGCAGTGGAGGTTGAGTGATCTGTGAGCTTGTTACTTCACTTAAGTCTAATAAATATACTGTTTTGCTTTCATCTATATTAATTAAACACAAAATAACTTTAAACAAATGTCTTATTTCTTCTTCTTTTGTCATTTTGTGTCTAACTTTGGAGCTTATATCTGAGCCTCAGTACTGATCCCTTTATACGCTAAACCTGCAGAGAAAAGCTGTCAAACACCTGAACATGAATAAATGTTACTATGATTTGAATCAGTAAACATCAGCGATTAATTGGCCTTAGTATCTCATTGGCCTTCAATGCGACATTATCGACCCGATGTCTGAGTTCCGCGGCCAGCGTAGTTTCTCCTACGCGCTTGGAAGGCTGAGCTATATTCAAATGGTTGCAATCTGCATCTTCCCCACTAGATGCCACTAAATCCTTCATGCTGGTCCTTTAAGAGTCATTTCTGAAAGTCACCTTCCAACAATGACTCTGACATCCCCATTCGTAAACCTACTTATAAAGCTCTGATTGGCTTGGTTGTTCAGTAAACAGTCTGGAATGAGGCACAGATAAGAAGAATAGTGACTGTCGTGTTACATTGATGGTAGAAACCCCAAAGAGCTTCCTCACAGTCACTCTGCTTCATTTGACTTTTAAATGACCCTTCATGACCAGCAGCAGCTTTTAACCTCCAGCAGAACCGTCAACATCAACACATTCACATTTCATCTCCTACATCACCTACTTTCAGATTTTTTGACCAACCAATCGGATATTAATGCTGATGACATGTCAGAGACATACAGGACAGCACGTGCTTACAAACATATTCATATAAGCTCCAGTTTTAGGTGTAACACAGTTGATCCTACCAACAGACATTCCAGGACAACATTAATTAAAATGACCAAATATCCATGAAAACTAGTCTCTCAAGTTCCAGGTTCTCCAGGACCCTGAAACAGCCAGTGTGAGAGTCCCTGCTGACATCAGCTGAGAGGGAATCTCTCTCCATGAGATGGCGCTGTGAGCCTGATTTATTGTTTACCTTCACAGGTTCAGCCATTTCACCGTTCATTGTTTGACTGTATACAGGTGGGGGGAAAGACAGACAGACAGGACATACAGAAGCTGAATACAAAGCAGCAACTGATGATATCAAAGAACAAAAGAGATAGACAAAGCCTCCAAGATCCACATTTGTAAAGACATTTGTTCCTGAAGTGAACAGTATGTGTTCAGTCTTGAAAGGTACCCGTGTGAGATTCTAACTTTAGTTTAGCTCACAGTCATCCTCACCGAGGTTAATGTTAGAAGATCTGTCCCTGAAGTGACTGACGGTGAATGAAAACACAGAAAAACATATGTTTTCTTAGAACCATTCACTGCGGAGGTCAATGGCTCCCAGGCTTTAATGTAAATGATCCCAGTGAGAAGAACGTCGGCCTCAGGAGTCCATTTGTTCGACGTCTGAGGGGACGCACCACACCTTGACCTCCATAAAGGTCTCTATGTTTTAGGCTAGGGAAAGTCATTCTTATATCTATGTATCTGACTCATTTAGAGCTGAAACAATCGGTTGATTAATCCATTAACTGAGCTGAAATTAGCCGTCCATACACTGATAGAAGTTTAAGTCAATGTCTGACTGGTTCCAGCTTCTCAAATGTGAGGATTTTCTGCTTTTCTCTGTTATATGGGATTGTAAATATTTATGGGGTTCGGGTGGCTGGTCAGACCAAACAAGCACAACAATGAATCTATTTTTTAAATAAAAAATAAAGAGATTAATCGATTATAGAATATTCGTAATAATTTTATTTATATATCCCCCACCTGTCTCAAATGTAAGCTCTCAAATGAAGGCAGAATGCCAAAAAATATAAAAAACTTTCACAATCTATAATTCTATTATAAACAAAAAATGTAGAATTAAACCAAGAAAATTAAGACTTTTAAAAAACGGTCAAAAACGAAGCCGCAGAAGCCGACATTTCCTGACTTTCAGCCTCTAGTGCGGCTCGAACTCCAACAACACTGGATCCTACATTTCCCATAATGCACCTCGATAGCCTGCTTATGCTTTCCCAGCCTTTGTGAAGCTCTTCCAGAGTCACAGAAGACATCACGCGAGTAGCGCTCGAGTAAATTGTGTTTGACATGTGAAATTCAACCTTCACAATAACAACTGCTCAGATCAAACAGATAATACCAAAATCTAAGAACTGCTGGGAGTAATTGTGCGCCTCCTCTGAAAGCCAGGTCACAAGCTACTCCTCCTGGCAGCGTCTCAAAGTCTTTGGGAGCTTCGAGCCTGACGGAGTCTGACAGCTGATCCCCCCGATGCAAATTCACAAAATGACCGGGGGAGAGGTGAGGCGTTCAGGAGTGTGTTGCGTCACTGAAGAAAAGAAGAAACAAGGGAGCGTGGGAGCTCACAGCAGGTGATCTGAGAGAGATCAAATCAACCTCTGCAGATTCATCAAGTCTTTCTCTACCTGCAGCTCCACTCACACAAATGAAACACAGAAGCTTGTTTTATTCGCTTTCTGTCGCCATCAAAGCTGACAATAACATCCAATAATAATGCAGCCGCAGCTCGAAGGTGACCTGCGGACGTGAGACGCCGTTCAGCCTTTTCATTGCTGAATGAATGAAACGGGAAACACCCAACCGGCCGTTCTCCCGTACATGACAACCAGCTGGAACAACAGTGGGAGTGACGTTCCCACACAATTATCAGGCTTCGTTCGCAGCTTTCTCACCAGATTAAAACGCATTCATCCACAAGCAGGAGTCTGGAGTTACAGTCAGTGCTGAGTATTCTGTGTTTAGATGTACACAAAGTTAGGAGCGGTTGGAGTTAGACATTCTTTCACCACTAAGCCACTGGGAGTCTGAGTCACAGTTTTTATGAGTCAAAGTGATCAACAGTGTGCAGGATCAGGTTGGAGCTGACAAGCTGTATGTTTCTGCAAGGCTGTTGCATGCAGGGCTGCAACTAACATCTTTTGAAGTGTTTTCAGTCACAAAGAAAAGCAGCAAAAGAAGCTGAAACCAGAGAATATTTGACATTTGACAATTAATTAAAATTTAATAAAACACTTTCACATTGTTTATTATCCAGAAATAAAACAGGATTCTATCTATTCTATATTTCTGTCTGAGAAATAAAGGAATATCTATAATCGTAAACATTGGGAGAATTGTGAATTGTATTGACGCATGAGTGTTATCATTATTTACCTACATATAAAGGCTGATTTGTAGTCGTAGATCGGTTCTACTACGAGCCTACGCAAGTTACCTACGCCGTTACGAGCATTTATACCCGTGCATGGGTGCGTTTGTGTTGCTCTGACATATTTTACATATAATATAATCTATTATTTTCCTCTGTAATTTGTAATTTTCCTGTAAATTCCTGTAATTTTATAAACAATTCTCTGTCTGTATTGTGTATTTTTTATCATTTTTAACAATCATACAGACTTCTTTTTTGACAAATTCAGTGTTTCCTTGTCCCTAACGCTCGGCCATTGTTCTATTAGACAATTGACTTCACAGAAATGACCTAAATGCTGAGATATAGACCTACTGTGTATATTTTTAAGTTTTCTTACGCCCCTTTAAAATCAAGAAGGCCTTGCGACACCCTATGAAGCTTTGGCGACCCCTAGTGGGGGTCCCGACCCTCAGGTTGCAAACTAGTGGGTAGAAGTATAAATCAGGCTTTTGTGTCTTAAAGGGAAGAACGAATACCAACTTTCTGCATCTTTCCCTCAGATTTCAACGGGACACTGCACTAGTTAGGGCTGTTTTAAGACGTGTTATTGTTTACCTGTTTTTAGGGTCAATCGGTCTCTGTTCCTGTTAGGACTAAAGCTTTTCCTGTTTGGTATCCTTCAGTTTCTGTGGAGAGGAGTTTTCCTGTTTTGTTGTGAGTGGCGTCTTGTATCTGTGCAGAGACGATTAATCAGTGTAGAACTGCTGTAGAGGGAAGCTTTTAGTTAACACAGCTTTAAACTGTATCTCTGTATATGTGACGGGTGTGTCAGAGTCCAGCAGAATCTGCACTTATCTAAATGAACTGCATAACATAATAAGCGTTAAATAAAGCAGGAAGTGAGTCTTGGTGCAGACGTTTTCACTTTGTAGCCCTTCATCAGTGCTCTTTAAGTGGTCCGTCTACATGGAAAAAAAAATCTCTACGTTTACAAGTTTCTTCACGTTTATTTTACAGATTTTTTTCTTTCTGCATTTTTTAAATACTTATAAATATTAATAAAATGCGTGAAAATGTCCTTTTTTCACATATAAAGTTCAAATACATTTGCTAATATATAATCTATTTATTTTACAGTAATTTCTGCCGACCCAGCTGCTGGTAATAACCGTTTTTTTCACAGTGTACCACAGTGTCCTGTCTTTCTGTCCCTACACTGTCTTCATTATTCAGGAGGTTTCCAACTGTGCAACCCAAGTCCTGCTGGCAGCGAGTACCTGGCCTCGTCTCTCAGTGCCTCCCTGCAGGACCTCCTGAGTCTGTGTGACGCACGCAGCCAGGTCCCTGTTTATCAAAACCCCCAGAGCTGGATTCAGAGCGCCCAATAACATCGAAAGTGTCAGAGTTCATTCCTGAGCCTGTAAATAGCAGTTTGACTAAACAATCTTAACTCAAGGTCCACTTACTTGCCTTACCGAGAGCTTTCAACCACATTCTTGAGTACAGACGGTAGTAATGATTACGTGACCGGACCTTCAGTTCCATGACGAGGACGAAGCAAACAACTTTGTTCACAGAAGAAGACGGCGTGGTGCGTCTAAAGAATCTAGTAAGTGGAGCTTGAGTTCAGATTATAGTCAGAAGCAGTTAGTTTTAAGGAATTTCCAACATTTTAAACTTGCTGCTATAGCAACAACCATCTTTAAGACAATCGTCCCTTTATTTGGGTTTATGCTTTAGACCAGATTGTTGTGTGAAATGTCTGGTGTGTAATTATGTCATCTTGGGTTCAAGTTCTGTACAAGTCCTCTAAATTGTTCAAAAGACACATGTCACATGTAACATTTACATGTAACATCACACAGATCCCAACAAGCAAAAAATGACATTATTAGCATTTTCTATAAACTAAAGTTTAACTGATGTTCAGCTGAATTAAGCTACTTGGTTCGTACCAAAGCTGACGATTCATATTGTTGCAAAAACTCACCGGTTTAAGCTTCTCAAATGTGAATATTAGCTGGTTTTCTGCTTCCTCTATGACACTGAATTGAATAACTTTGGTTTTTGACTGCTGGTTGGACAAAACAACGATTTAAAAATATCAACTTGGGCTCTAAGAAAGCTAGAGAAAGTGAATTGTTATTGAAAATAAGCAGCCCTGGTTTGAACGAGTGACACAAACCGAATAGTGGAGATATTGTTCAAACACCTCCAGGCTGGTTGTCTTTAATGAAAGTATTTCTGGGTGTTTGTTTCATTTCTTTAATTTTGTTTACATAGCATTTAGAAATAAGAGGAAATTGCCAAATTGCTACTTTCACTACAAAGACTACATACACGGGTCAACTTCTGTGTTAGCTACTTGTATTAACTTACTTTTAAAGTAGCCTAGAGAGAGACAACATTCCCCCAGTTTCAGCAGCCCTTCACTGGTTTTCTTGTCCACTGTATACTTTTATTACTACCTCTAAGTCAAGAAAAGTGCGACACAAATAAAGTTATTGTTAATCATTAATCATTATTTTAGACTTTTTATTTAAAATCTCCTTTGTGAAACTGAAACTGAGCCTGAATATTTCACCTATCATGACAGCAAACAATACAAAATACCAGCAACACTGACAAGAATGTAGGTGGAAGTTTCCAAAAGGTGTTCCTCAATGTTTTTCTACCAAAATAACCTGAATTATCTAAATATTCAAGTCAATCGTGTAGAAGATGATATAATATGGCGAAGACCAGCAGCAGGATTATACGCATCGCTGAGCTTCAGTTACTTGTGGCATTCAGATCCCAATTATGATCCCAGTGCAATTACAAAGGCTTACGAGCACAAAGAGTCGGGTAATAAACAGTTTCTACGTCAACTAAACAGAGAGCCAAATATTCTCTCTGTTAACCTTGCAGATTTTTACCTTGAATTAAAGATGTACTTCCTGTAGGTGAAGAATTTTCCTGCAGCTTGGCTTTGCGAGGCGATACCCTCCCCTGTGGATCTACTGGAGGAGAAACAGTGTCGTCCTGACAGCGACCCAGAGCCGATGCACTGCTGCCTGCCTCCTCCCTTCCCCTCCAACCCGGTCTTGTGACTGTAGGGACGACAGCTGACACCACTCCTACAAAATAAGAGCCCTGGGCTGCCGGTAAAGAGGCGGCTCTTTCATTTTCTCAATCTCTCTCTCCTTGATTCTCAGTTCTGCAGTTTGCTTATGTTATCCATGTGTTGCAGACTCTCTTTTCCTTTGTCTTCCTGTTTCTTAGTTTATCATTCTCTCTCTGTGTCCTAATGTAGTTTCAGTTTCTTATGACCTCTTCTGATTCTCTGCTTTTTTCCTCATGTCTATTTCTCTCTCATATCGCTGTTTTCCAGGTCAGTGTGATGCTTCCCACTCGCCTGCTCAGGTGACATTCACAGCTCTGTCAGCTGTCAGTGACTGCTGGTGCATTCAAAGGCTGCTGAACTGTTTTTTTCTTTGGTTTTTAACCCGCGTGCAGACACACGATCTGAGGCAAACTGAGCTTAAATGCACTAAAGATGATGCAATGAACACGCTGTGGAAAAACGCGATGTCAACTGCTACCACAGAAATGAGTAGGCCAGTAATCTCACCATCAGGTCATGTGACTGTGTGAGTACTCATTTGTCAAGTCCAAGGACTCTGAGCTACTTTTAATGCAAAATGCAAAACTTCCTGCTTTTAACCTGTGAACTACCTGAAATGTTTAATTGCGAAAAGGTCACATAAGGACATGATACAAAACCGCAAAGAGGCCTGCTGAAGCTCCTCCCTTCGTGCCAGATTATCTACGTGACAAATTCATGTTTCCTCAAAGAAAGGTAGCCCCGCCCTAAAGCAT